GCCGATTCATGCAGTCATTGTCGATGATTCGATCTTCATATCAGATCATGAGTGATTATGAATAATATCATTTGGAAAGACATACTGTTCAGTACTCTATTGTGTTCTTTTTTTATTTAACTGTGGTAAAGAACAGGACAAAAATTGTTTTATTTATCATTGAGTAATTTTTGTGAATTTAGTATGTATAACTTCCACTAATATCTCGAATGAACGAGAAAAATAGTATAAGCACTTATTAATTGAAAGGACTTTCCACTCTTGATGCGTGTCGAAAGAAAATTTAAACCATTCAAAAGTCATATTGATTTCAATTCGGTGTTCCTTCATCAGATAGGTGTTGACGATGGTGGTGTGTGAGGTTCTCCGTAGAGTGCCTGTGAATCCAACACTCATAACCATAATTCGTCTCGTTTGGTAATCAGTTGGTTAGAGCATAAAATGCGTCTGTTGATCCTACTAGAACATTACTGGGCTATAATTTCAATTGATTTCGATCTTCAAACCCTAACAACGAAATAATTTAACATGTCGTTCAATTTCAATAAAAAAAGTTCTACAATATCGACTCTTTTGGCAATGATTCTTTTTGGAAACGAATTTCTGTCGTTACTCTTGTCCATACATGATTTTAGTAGTTGCAAGAATGATTTACTTTTTGAAACTTTATGCTAAATATTTAATATATATGTGATTTAGGGCAATATAGTTCATTTGATGCAGATTTTCACACTGAAGACGAATATCTAATTGCTTTTGCTTATTTCTGCTTTCATTCTTAAAGAAACTGCAACTTTAAAAAAAAAAAGATAAAATTCCGTAACTGATGGTGTATTTAAACTCCTATTTAACACAGACATTTGTATTAAAAAATGACTTGATATTCTGGAAGCTCGTTAACAACCATTTTTTGAAATTCCCTAACGGTCGGTATTGTGTGAATAGCTCACCTCTGGCTCAATAAAAATCAATAAACTTTTAACTTCTGTAAGATCTCGATGAACTCTATTCAGGATAAAAATTTCGTCGCGTTTACTCTTATCGATATGGAGATATAGGTTAAAGAAGATAAATAAATGAAATTCTGTAACGTGCTTGCCCATACTCAGTTGCTACTCTTAAGGTAAAAGTCTATAATGATTCCATTCATAAACAATCATCATCAAGATGCCATGAGAAATGTGAAAGGAATTCTAATGAATATATTATGAGTACAAATCAGGCAAACTTCCAAATTTTCGTCTTGCATATCTCTAAAGCTTACATTCTATTTTTCTTCAAAAAGGAAAACGTAATGTGAATTTCACAAAAAACAAAAACAGTCAAATAATTTTACTATCAATTGTTAATAATAATGGATTAATATCAAATAAACGTTGAATATACCTTAATTGAATAAGTGCAATATGTTTTCATATCGGGTGTTTTTAACATATATTCAAGACAATCAAAGAAAAAACAACAATTAAATGTGTTTATGTTGTTATTAATCCTTGTGAAAGTTCAATAACTTGAAATTTTTCTATATAATCATCATGTGCAGCAAGGAATTCTGAATAAAATTTAAAAACAACAAATCGTACTTAATACTGTTGAAATCGTTTTCTTATTCGACAATTATCAAAATACTATTAATCCAATGAATCAATTAATAATTAATAATTAATATACTCTGTTGATATGTATTTAAGTAATCGTTGAATAGATCCTATTATTAAATGTAACTAAATGTTGTTTTATGTAATTCAGTTTTATGTTTTGCGAATCTATTCGAAATAATTTTTATGTTTTACATTATCTACTCAATGAAATAAAATTACCTTAAAATAACCATTAAAACGAGCATTCGTTGTTTTTTTATCTAATATATAAATCGCTTCCATTGTTTTAGTATAAAATTTTCTAAAATCTATTAGAAAAAAAAGTTATACGAAAAACAATAGGTGAATTGATTAAAAAAATAATTGACTCGAGACGAAAGTAACGATTTGTATAGATGACTTAATATAATGCAAAGAAATTAAACTAAATAGTTTATCACTGTTTCAATCAAGATTCAATAGGTGTCTAACTCCGGTCGAATCATAAGAATTTTGACCTATGTCGCGCACTACTGTACAATATCAATAATTAGTTTAGTAATCGGGCTCAATAAACAAACTTATTTCAAGCATAAAAGCACAGCAATCTTGTAAAAAACACAGTGTAACAAAGAAATTCAGCGTATAAAACACTATGTAAAGTCTGTTTCATTAGGATACCGTACATTTTTCGTTCAACAGTTCTAATTGCAACGCTAGATAGCGAACGTGTTACAGTAGATCGTAAGCGCACGGCGCTGGCACAATTCTTAGTACTAAACTTCTGTGTCCACTTCCTGGAGTTATCAGTATTTCCACAAAGATCACTGACTAACGACTCGGTCACCAATCAACGTCGTCCAGTAATAGATGGGATTATATATTGGCACAGCGTCTTTAGAATGATGAAAGTCATTCGCAACTAAAGACTGTCAAGTGATGTTTGGGCCACCCCGTATCTACCTTTCTCATTTTTTGTCAGACACATGACTTTATTAAAAAAATTCACTAAGTATTTCCTCTATCATGCGCATTCAATGATCTTTTTGTCTTTCCTCTGCTCAAATTCTTTTTTCGTACGAGTCTTCTTTAAAATAAATGAATCAGTTAAGTCAGAAAATCTCATTTTGAAATATGTAGTCTTATTTTGATGAAAAAACATTACCGAAGGTTCATATATTTGCTTCCCTTCCTTTTCAGTTAAATTTTGATAGTTGTTCAAATACTTATATATATCACTTCGATAACAAAAGCATCCACAAACTAAAATTTTATTGAAACTGATAAAGAAAAATTACAAATCTGCTAACTGTTGACAGAAAAGGTACTCGATTGCTACTAAAAAAATATTAAGAACTTGTTTATGCGTTTCTTTATTTGTTTCCGTTTTCGCAGAAATGTTTTGGTTTCTAAACGATTTTTTGTCGTCGAAATAATATATGAACTGTTAGCATATGAACCGAAGACCGAAAACGAGTCTCGTCGAGCCAGACCCACTTCCGAGCCGAGTTTGACTCGAGGAACTCGACTTTTTCGAAAATTTTCAGTAACTTTTCCACTTGTTTCTTGGCATTAGAACGTCATTATTGTTTCGTGAATTGTTGCAATACAATATTAACTCATTGAAATGTATCAGCCGAACAAAACAATAGAATAAACAGATCTTCATGGACAGCGGCATTAAATAGACTAAAATGAATGACATACATTGACTTTCATTGTATTCAATATATCATTGTCTGTTGAAAGATTAATTAGATCGTGACAAATCGATCACGAACCTATATAAGTAGACAATACACGCAACGTATGACGGAATTGTTCTTATTCTTTTCAATTCTATAATTGTTCGATGATCAAACATCTTCTGTTACAAATTTCTATGTAGCTAGCCAGATTGTGACTCAGAGGCATTCCAATCTCGATTCTTCAATGGTCAATAATTTGACCTTCTTGCATCCCATTGAGAACAACAAGCGATTTATCTAGCTTAAAGTTTTTTTCTCTTGACTCATTCTTGTGAAGTTTGTTAATTTTGTCACTTATTCTTATTATCAGATGAAATATGACTTTGAAAGTTCGTTGTTTGAATTGTGAAAAGGCATCAAAAGAGAGGATATAGGGTAACAAGAGAGAAACTTTTATTATTAGGTCTTCAATTCGTTGTGCTAGATACTTACGTGAATAAATTTCTATAGTGAGAGATGACTGCGACTCTCATACCTCAATATTACAATCAATAGCAAAATGCAATCTTTATACTTCCTTCTCAGTAACAGAATCATGATCATATGAGTGTTAATAATCGAGTAACAACTTTCGAGGGAAATTTTTTTAATGTTGTATTTTATCTTGCAAACATTGGAAAAATATTTCATAGTGAAGAAGGAGGAAATGATACTTTAAATTTAGAATGAATGAGAGCCTCAACAGTGAAGTTATCTTTCTTGCCTTAAATGATTTTTTCGTTATCTCGAAAATAAAATAAAATCTTAAAAAATTCCACTCGAAAGCTATTACTCAATTCTTTACATTCACATGACAATCAACCAAATTCTTCGGCAGGAAATGAATAGACGTTACTTAAAATCTCTTATTTATTAGTAAATACTACATTTTACTAGTGATTGTAATATCCATTTAAATCGATTTCATACAGTCAAAGATGTCCAAAATTAGGAGTTGTGATGCGTTTACATGGAAATTGTGTTAAAATGTTTTTCTAAGCACGACTGAATAACGAATGCTAATTCTATTGACTTTTCTTCGAAATATTCTTGACAGAAAGTATTAGAAATCTTCGCAAAAAGTCAGAGATGCTCTCGAGTTTCGGGGCGAGAGGACGCTAGACCCTTACCCCTAATCGGAAAGCCTTTCTATGACTTAACAAATTAAGAAACAATTTATTATTGTCAATAATGTAATAGTTATAACAGAAAAAAATTTAAAATTTTGCCTAATATGTGAGACAAACGTTCATCTTTTTTATTTATTGACAAAAGAGGTAGACACAAACTAAGAGACTCGATAGCTTTATCTTTATTATCAATGATAATAACCAAATTTTCTTCCAGATTAAAATATTTCTTATTTATCATTGGATTATTTCCAACAAACATAATTAATAATAAAATTCGTAGAATAATCTTCATTTACTTTAAATCGACAAATTCTAAATTAGATAGATATTCAATGAATAGAGTTTTAGAAAACATGTCCTTATCGCATATTTCCTTCAAACATGTCAAATTCGAAAAAAGTTTAGAACAATATAATTCATTGTTATTTATTGAGAATGAAAATAAGAACATTTGATTTTTCTTGTTAATTAACCAGAGATCTTAATTTGTTTTAACTTTATTCTTGCAGAAGTTACTTACAGCCTATGAAGATTGGCCGAAAGCAATTATAACCGAACAAATGCTCAGCGACACGGTGTATTTAGTTTATGGTAAAGAAGAAAGAATACAATTATGGTATTATATTCTTGTTCCTATTAACAAATTTGCCGAAATAAAAGCCAATCGACAAATGTCAATAAGCGATATTAAAAAAATTGGTCGCATGATTGAATATCTCAATAATCGAGATCAAAATAAACAAATGTCTGGATTGGAAATTGAACCACCCAAAATATTTCAGAAATGGATTGCAGAACATTATAGTAAGAAAAAGGCAATGGCTTTAATTTATTTTCATGGTGAAGTAGATTAAGTAACACAAAAAAAAACTGAGCTTTCAAATTTTGTTATATCCGTTATATTTTCAAATAACAAGTAAGACTTTAAAAAGATATTGTACCAATATATGTTAATTAGTTAGGCATTATACTAATACGAAGTTTTACTAGAAAGTTTACTCGACTTCAGTATTTAATATATGTATATATTGACAAAGTTAACACCGAAATAGAACTATAATTCAAAATATTCCTTTAAGTAAATTTATATATATTGAAAAAACTTTTCATATACAACTAACTAAATTTGAAAAATAATTAGAATTTTTCTTAAGTACATAATTAAATATACGATGAGAAGTCTGTCTTTTTTAAATCATTTTTTTAATGCAAATTCTCCTGTTGCTATTGATGAAACCATCAGCTTGACGTATACCAACGTGCTATTCTACAATAGAAAATAGGTATTGAATTCTGTTATTTTGAACGCCAACGATTTCATTATATCAAACTTACTGATGATTTACCGTCAAATTTAGCTCGGCGAGCAGAGCTAAAATCCTGTGATCGAATCATTTTTTTTAATGATATCAATATTGAGAATGACACTTTAGATCAATTCTTGAATCGAATTGATACTGAACGACATCTTCCAATTCAACTCCTTGTCTGTAGTTCAGCTACATATGAACTAGAGTACTGCGGGACAGTCCAGAATCCCGAAAAATCCCGTTTGTCCCGTCCCGCGGGACAATCGGGATTATCCCGAAAAATTTTCGGGACGGGGCAAACGGGATCGGGACAATATAGAAAAAATCTATGTCCCGAATTTTTTATCCGTATATGAAATAGGCTAGTATTTATTTGAGCAATAAAAATATTGAAATGAGCAATAATTGAAATATAATCTAGCAATAATTTTCAAGCAATAAAAATAATTTATTTAAGCAATTTTACACTACTAAACGTACAATAGTTAATTCATTAAATCGCAGTAGTCATTTCATATTTTAGGAATAAAAAAAGAGAAACTACATTCTTGTCAGTTACAATTGAAAATAAAAAAAAAGAAAAATGAAAACGGAGTACATTATTATGTCAATAAAGCTTTTTTTTACTTTAGATGGTCTGTGTCTTTTTTGTTTTTGTATCTATTTCCACATTTTTTGTCTGTGGTGGAGGTTTACAATATTTTAACCTGATGGATATACCAATGATGTGCTTGCAAATATAATTTTAAGGAATGATCGGCATTTTCCTTTCCTCTCATATATATCTGATGGACTTTTCCTTTCTTTCTATTCTTCTTGCTTTCATGCTGTTCCATGGATTTTTCTTTCGTTGTTCATCATCTATGAGATTTTCCATCTTATGGATTTTCCAGCACTTGCCATCGCCCTATATATAGCGTTACGTTTCTTATATGGATGCAGATATAGGAGATATACATAGACTGATACATATATAAATACGATGAGATTGAGATCTCGCACCCTTTTCATAGAAAATTTATCTTATATAAAGTTTACCTTCAATTTAAATAAATTATTGCTCGTTAAGTATTATTATTGCTAAATTTAATTATTGCTCATTTAAATTATTTTATTGCTCAATTAAATACAAGTCTATGAAATAGAGTACTGCGGGACAGTTCCGAAACTCGAAAAATCCCGTTTGTCCTGTCCCGAAAAATTTTCGGGAAGGGACAAACGGGATCGGGACAACTCAAAAACTTTCGGGACGGGACAAGCGGGATTCGGGACACGAGAAAGTTTGTCCCGCAGACCTCTACACAAGAGTCTTCAGTGAATGAATATCAATGTGTTAAAAGCAACTTGTTTTCGGTTTTTTCTGCACGTGTTATGTTTCTTCTTTTCTCTCGTTCATCTTTTTCTTCTAGCAAGGTTGTCAAAAATAAAAATAGAGAAAATCGTATCCATGGAAACAGAGGTACAAAAAAGAAAACTCAGCCGTATTCTATACATGAAACGAATTCATGAAATAGTTGTTTTATGTACCTGAACGCTTTTTCGACGCTCATCAAGAGCTTCTACAAAAACTACCATCTGTTGAAGACTATGGCAAAAAAGCATTGGTAACACTTGAGAAAGCACTCGAACCACTTCGACCGTTGATAGATAATTTTGAGGTAGTACCATGGACGGCAAAGAGTATAATGCATCAACCAATATATGATCTTACTTATGATGAGGCAGGCGCCATATATCTTTATACAATTTGGCGTTTAAAAGAAGACCAAACTATCCCTAGTCAACTGAATAAAGCACTGCGCTCCGGAGAACGAAACCGACTCAATGCATGGTCTTCTTATCTTCATCTCCTTGTGGTTGCTTTAAGTAAATTACCATCCATGACAGGCACAATTTGGCGCTATGGCAGAGGTGACATGACTAATAATTATCAAAAAGATTGTATCTGGTTAGGATTCAGCTCATGTGTAGGTCCCATGTCTAACGTTACGAATCAGGATAAAGATAGTGTGTATACTATCTTCGAAATAAAATGCATCAATGGTAAAGCGATTTGCAATTATTCTGACTTTCCACAAGATGATGAAGTTATTTTGATGCCTGGTACGCGCTTACGAGTGATGAGGAAAGAAGATCTAACGACTAGGCTTAAAAAAATTTATTTACAAGAAGATGAAAATCAGCTATTGGCTAAATCTTCGGCTTGGTCACTGCCCATAGACAGAACATATCGCACAGAACAAGACTTTAAAATGACTATAATGCAACCGATCGGTGAAATTAAATCATTACAATCATCTAGTAAGTGTTTTGGCATTGAACAAGATGTTCTCGATAATATATCTGACTACTGAAAATATTATAAGATTCTCAGGCTATGCAGATGAATATAAGAAACAATGGAGCCAATAGAGTTTTAGAAATCGAGAAAAAGTTATTCTCTCTCGAATTCCTAGATTTCATCTGATAAAACAAGATATCAATGAGCAAGAGTCGAATTTCTGAAACTCGACTTCCTAGTTGAGTTGTTTTTTTTTAATCTTAGAGATAATTAGTTCTTAGAGACCTACAAAAAGAGTTCCGTGATTAGATTGACCATCGAAAAGTCGCAAGGACAGATAATGAAGAGAAAGTTTACAATGGATAGATGTGGAATAGATGTAATATCAAAAATGGAAAACTATTGAAAAGAAAGTGATTAGTCTAGAATATGTGTGAATAATGTTATAGTAAATATACAGACTAGAAATCATATCCAACACTTACCTGCATCTAAATATTCTATTAGAAATGTCTTGTGACTTTGATTTAGTCACTGAAAAACCACCGTCCATTAAATTTGCAATTGAACCTCAAATTTCTCAGTTGGAAATGTTTCCTATCAACACAAACAAACTTAATGATACTCGCAAGGAGAAAACATTCACAACAGCGAATAATCAACTTGTTGAAAAAGAGAATAGATATTCTGTTTTAGAAAAGACTTGGCTTGATTGTCAGTATCATGATAAAGACAACCAATCTATTATGACTCCTGAAGATCTAGAGACGAAATTACAAGATCCTCATACAGTTATTGATCCTACCGTTTTAAATTATGTGAAGGGATCGATGTTTGGTATGGCCTTGGGTGATGCACTTGGAGCTCATGTTGAATTTCGACCACGACAATACTTGATAGAATATCCCGTGCAAGATCTTCAGGAAGGAGGAACTTGGGGTCTCAAAAAAGGACAAGTAAAATTTCTTGTCTTTCTATAAGATTTCATTATTTATATTTCCGAATTAATCCGAAAGAAGAAGTGGCAATACATTTCGTTGTTATCTTACCCTCTCTTAACTTTAATTAAATTTCTATAGGATCAGAAGACATAGCTATATATGTGTACAGTATCTATTTTCTATCGTTTTTCAAATAATTATTTCTTGTCATCCATTCAATATTTTCGAAATCGATACCATGATTAAGAAGAACTAACCCTCATTTCAAAGAAACGTCAGAGGCATGACAATACCAGTACCATCAACTAACACATACATGGAATTCATTTTATCCTTGGTTAGGTATCATTATTCTTGTCTACTTTTCCAAACACCGCGAACATGTACAGTTCCCTTTCATTAATTATGAATGCTATTGAGATCAAGATTAAGATAACTTCATTTAGAAACTAATACATAATCTTACTTTACAAAAGCTGTTGTCATCGAAAAAAGAATTTTTCCTTAGACCATCTTTAAATACCATTAATTCTTTTTTCTATTAAGAGGCTTCCATGTGCTTTGTAAGAAATGCCTTGTGCAATGTTGAGAAAATGAAAGAAATTAAAAGAAAAAGAATACTGTAATTGGCTCTATATATTTGTTTTTCGTTCAAATATATCCTTTAATCATGTGTTAAACATGGATAATTGTACTATTTTCAATCATTATCATTTGCTTAGTTCACTGATGATACCTCCATGGCTCTTTATCTGGCAAGTTCATTAATATGTCGTCGCGATTTTGTACCTTATGATCAGCTAGTGCGGTACAAGTGGTGGTACAGACATGGTTACATGTCTTCGACTGGACAATGTTTCGATATTGGTAGTGCTACCAGTCAATCACTGCGTGAATTCGAGCGTCGTCAACGATTATTTGCCAGTGAATATCAAATTCCTCTTGATCAATTAGATTCTCTTTTAGATCTCAACCTTATCAATAAATTTGACGTGCATTGTAGTCAAGTCGGAGTTGCTGGTAACGAAGCATTAATGCGACTAGCTCCTGTTCCTCTCTTCTTCTATCGACATCCTATAGAAGCCGTAGAGTTCTCGGGAATTAGTGGTGTCATTGCTCATGGCGATCAAAAGGCCTATGATTCTTGTCGCTATTATGGAGCTTTAATTGTGGCTGCTCTTCGAGGTGAAACAAAAGAACATATTTTGGATGATAACTTTTATTTGAAACATAAAACATGGTTCAATAACAAGCCACTTACACAGGAAGTTATGAATGTTGCTGAAGGATCGTACAAGAAACCTGGAGGATATCAGGATGGCATTCGAGGCAAAGGATACATTGTTAGTGCTCTTGAAGCTGCCTTATGGGCTTTTTGTTACGATGAAAATTCCTTTGAGAAAGGAGTTCTTAATGCAATCAATCTTGGAGAAGATACTGATACAACCGCTGCTATTTATGGTCAATTGGCTGGCACCTACTACGGTTATGACAAGTTACCCGACAGATGGATTAGACAGGTCTATGCGCATAATTTTATAACATGTGTAAGCAAGTGGATCGTTTATGAAGGACATTTGTGGAAACCAAAACATTCTTTGTCGAATAAACTAGAATGAACTTCTCAATCTTATTCAAGTTTCCCTTCATAATCTGTAACTGCAATGAGTTCAATTTCAAACTCAAAGTCAGTACATACACAGACATCAAGTTTTTACATTTAAAGAGTTATCTTCTAATGAATCGAGAGTAAAGACACTATTACATTTTCTAAAGACAATTTGTTAGAACTTTTCTTCTTCTCTTTTTATTATATTTATTACCATCATTCGTTTGTCGCCTCTCTGTAAACCAGATCAAATGTCATAGAAAAAAAAGGAGCAATGCTACTAGCATAATACGATGATAAGATAAACAGAGAAAGTAGCGTTCTTATGTCGGAAGATGTCTATCCTGACATAATACAGCTCCATATAATATTCATACAACAACTTTGGTAGTATAACGAAATCCAAATTCGAGATCAAGAGCAACAGCAACACGATATGAAGAAAGTGGTAGAACAGAATCTGTCATTAGTGTGGTAGGACGCATTAGCTATAAGGGTGTGACGTCACCTCTAACAGGATGTGGGCGTGAGTGTGTGTGCATGGAAACGGAAAGAAGACAACACCCACACCCATACCCACATCCACACCCACACCCCTACGCACAAACACACACTGGTTGAAATGCAAGAAAAAGAATGAGGTGAAAAAAGTATTTAATATCCGAAAATTGAAGAAATTAAATTGCGTCATTCTGTTTATCATCAATTCGTCTGCGAATCATTTGCTGTGGATTTTTTCACTTTTAAATGTTGCATTTCTAGTGTTTAACCACATTGTTGGTAAGTACAGCAACAACCAAACTGTCGAAATAGTACCCATGCCCATACCAAATAACAATGTATATGAAGGAACCGTATGAAAATAAAATACTTCACTACATGACCATGCTAACCAAATCAAAAAGGACCATAAAGTGGATAAATACATTGCATGCTGATGTAAAGAAAAGGTAGTTAGTGTACGCAATACGGCAAAAATTAAAGTCCATCAAACAATCACACGTCGTAAAATGGGTACTGTTACACTATCATTGACAAGTACAGTTGCACTACCAGCAAACAAATGTTCTAATGATTCAGGTTTATAAGCTAAAACAGCTGCACCGATAAAATTATAAGCGCTGACAAATAACAGATAGTAGGAGAGGAATGGAAGAGTCATGATGGAAAAATAAAAGAAGAAAAGGCGATATATGGATATTATATAGTAGTCTGAGCAATTCAAACACGCTTAACTTTTTTCGAACATCATCTTACCGCTATAATATATCCTTAGCACAAAAGTTGAATTGAAGTATGTTTCTTTCTGTTGACTTACCGTTATCATACTTTATCAGCTCGGTGTACAGGTTATAACAAAATTAATCATGAAAAAAATTTATAAAAAAGAACGGTCAAGAAAGCTCTCTGAGAAAAAAAGAAACGCGTTCGAACGCATTCATGGTAAAGATGAGCGTGCTGCCATAGATTACGGTCCTAATGGATAAGAATCTGCTCTTGGAGACCACACTCATAGGCCATCACTTGTTTCTCCGACGACCAGAAGTATCATATTAGAGTTGATGATTGCATGAATTAACACTAACTTATGTATTGACTACGAGCAGTTACTTACCGAAGTAGTAAATCTACATTTTCATGGCATATGCAAAGGCAAGATTCATGAGGTGTTTGTTCTTTGACTCGTGCTGGTGGCAATGAAAACAAATTCGATCGACCGATTGCTGTATCGGGATATTTCATTTTAAATTTTTCAAAAGTTTCACTGATTGTCATATGCAGAAAGCGCAATGGGAGTGGTTGTCTGACCGGCGGTGAATGTATGCCTTGTTTCTTGAGGGTGGGTGTGGGTATTAGAGAATAAAATGTGAACATCCAGACGTACATCCATCAGCCACAGTTACACCTCACTCACCCACACCCTCCGAAAGCGGTTCTTTATTATTTTTTTGTACCCATGAGTTATGACGAAATACCTCACTAAGAAAACACCGAAAAAATAATTTCATCATACATAATTCAGTGTTTTTTTTTCTCTCACTTGCGACATCTTCATTGTAAGATTCTGGCAGAGGTGTACTGATGACTCATTTCAGTGTTTCTCTTTATTTTACTACGAAATCATTGCACAGGAGGAAACAGAACAACAATGAAATGTTTATATGATGCAATTGCTTGTGCAGAGAAACTGGCGCTCTCTGAATAAGATATTTCGTAATTTTGTTTCGATAGCTTTACATTAAAAAATAGAGAATAGCTCTTGGATGGACTTGAACCATCAATCTCCCGGTTCGTAGCCGGATGCGTTAGCCGTTTACGCCACAAGAGCACAAGTGTTCACAGAATTTTGCGAATGTGGGTGTGGCTGCGATTTTTGGTGGTGCATCTTTTTAGTTCACCTTCCCACCAATATCCGCATTGCTCACCTAAAAACACACATTTACCCTCATCCACTCACTCAGAACTAGAACGGCACTCATAGCGACGCCCATCCTTTGCAAAATTTTCTCTTGTGTGAGTATAACTATAAGCGAGGTAGATGAATCCAAATGGCTGCATGTACTTTACAAGAACACTGAGACGCAGATAATGTCAGAATTTTATTGATATTATCTTTATTAGAATCATTTCAGTTGGCATAGGGTGTGGATGTGGGTGTAAGTGTGTGGGTGTGGGTGTGGGTTTGGATGTGGGTGTGAGTGTGTGGGTGTGAGTGTGGGTGTGGGTGTGGGTGTGGGTGGGTCTCTTTATATCCCTTGCATCCACACCCACACCCATACCCACACCCACACCCACACCCACACCCCACCCACACCCACACCCACCCACACCCACCCACACCCACACCCGCACCCGCACCCACATCCACAGCCACCCCACACACACCCACACCCCTCCCAAATCTTATTTTATCTTTAAAAAAACACCAGTTTGTGAATTTTAATCTTTAGTATAATTTATTTTAGATTAAGAGTAAAAAATTGTTCATCTAACATTTCAAATGCAAAATATTTTATGAAAATTTTTTTATCTATTGGGTTGGTAAGAAATTTTTGTCATTTTTTTCAAAAATTTTATTTTTATTTTTTAAATATCAGAATACAATTATCAATCAACAATGTATGCTCCATTACTGTCTATGACTTGTTGCCAACGCTCTGGTAGAGAAAGGATCCCTTGTTCGTAGAAGTCTTGAGACTTTTGGTCGAAAAAATTGAGAAGATCCATTTTGAGGTCGTTTTCATCTTCGAACTTTTTCTCACATAAATGATTGTCGAGAGAACGGTACAGATGGTAGTCCGTAGGAGCTAAGTTTGGAGAATAAGGTGGATGAGGAACAGTGATCCAACCAAGCTCCAATAACTTTTGGCGTGTCGACTTTGCTACATGGGGTCTGGCATTATCATGTAAAAAAGTAAATTCGATCTTGTTTTCCTTTGAGTTTTTCTGCAACCCGATCCAATTGCTGGCAGTAGAGATCAGCTGTGATGTTGCAGCCGTCTGGAAGAATTTCCCAACGAATAATCCCTTTGACTCCCCACCACACGCTCAGCATCACCTTCTTTGGGTGTAGATCAGTCTTAGGCGTTGGTACACCTGCTTGACCAGCGCTCAGCCACTGGCGTCTACGTTGGTAGTTAATATACAACACCCACTTCTCATCACCAGTAATAAGATTGCAGAGCCATTGATAGTTGCGATGAGAAGTCAACAATTCCATACAAGCATCAACCCTATATTGCATCTGAAGTGGTGATAACTCATGGAGCATCCAAACTCCATATTTCCACATTTTGCCTAATTCGTGCAGATGTGTTTCCACTGTAATATGAGAGTACCCAAGACGCTCTGCTAAACACCGTGTAGTCAATCTAGGATCTTCTTCGATAAGCTCCTTTAAGAGATCCGTATCCACCTCTAGTGGTCTTCCAGTATGAGGTAAATCATCGAGTTCGAAGTTACCGTTCTTGAACTCATTGAACCAACGTTGCGCTGTACGAATGGAGAGCGCATCCTTGCCCATCGTATGGCATATGTTGCTTGTTGCTTCTGTTGTTTTGTGATCCAGACGGAATTCATGAAGCAGAAGCAACCGGAGCTCTCTACGAGATATTTTCATTTCTAATTCGAGATCAGTATCTATATCCATAGTTTTATTGTTGTTCGAAAGATATTTACACTCCCTTGATATACCCTTAGTATGGAAACTTCTAGAACTTTCTTGACTGTTCTAGGAAGTTACGAAAAAAAACGACAAAAATTTCTTACCAACCCAATAATTTTAATAAAGACGGAAATTTTATTCAGTTTCATTGAAAAAATAAAATAAAATAAAATATTTCAAAATAAACTTTTCACTCAAATGAACTACCATTAAATTTCATTAGTTTGATTTACTCAAACTTCAATGATGAAATATGAATGCTAAGAAGTATCAATAGAGTCAATATTGATACAGTCATATCTTAGTTAATTTAATCAGTATTTATGAACTAAATGAACGAATAGATATATAAATAACTGAATAAGCAAGATATTCAACACTTGAATGATCAAAATAATTAAGTAGATATTTTTTTTTAGATCTAATTGTTTAACGTATATGCATTATCTAATGACATAAATTTTAAAAAATTCGAATTAGATACCGTGTTTAGTTGGACCGATCATGAATAAACATCTGCAGCGGGTAATTTCGTTATCGATACGCCTTTGAAAGTCATTTGTTAACCACTCATTTATTCTGTCTTGATGTTCTTCAGGAATTCTGTAATAAATCGGAGATTGCAAAAATTATTGCTAGAAAATCTTTACTTAAAACTTGCTGGATGATACATTGGTTTATAATCGATTTCTTCCTGCTTATTCGCTATTTGAAGTTCGTATTCAATGGTGTATCTCATTTGATTTCCTGATACTAAGTACTCAAACGGAAGACTTTTTTCAATACAGCAGCAGCTAGAAAACGAATATCCTCTAGAGAAGTTCTACATAAATAAATTATCGAACCAGCAAAAACAGATTCTTTTTTAAATGCAATCGCAGCAACTTCGGCCTGTTTTTGACGATAATCATCAGTCAATGCATTTTTTCCTTTCTTGCATATATAAACTGAATTTTCAATGTATCTATCCTCCGCTATGGATTTAATTTCAGCGTTATATTGATCAGCATTTGTCACAAGTAAATAATCTGATTTTTTCAGATCTATTGAATAAAATATTTAGATGAGATGTGTCAGATTTCAATCTATACCTGGAAAAAGATGATTCAGAAATTTGTGCTTGAAATTTACTTTGTTTTCAAAACAAAGATGGATTGAAACGAATTTTTCATTTGATGATGTCGATGTATCTAGAATTCACATTTCACTGATATGATTCATATTAAAAAGAACATTACCGGCAGCACATAGATATTTAATTTCGGGTAACTTTTCATTCGTATTTAACCGAACGGTAGGATACATTGTTGTAATGGAAACGTATATATCATGGTAACTTCTAGATGTCACAATATTTTTTTAAAAAAAATTTACTCGGTTGAATCGATCATCATCTTCTTTGATTGAAATTTCGTTTTGAAGAGTCTTATTTCCTTTTTCATCCTTTGATTTTTCTCGTAAGTTTGTTTGCGATACTGAAAAAGGAACATTTGATGGAATTCCTGGTGGTAAAACATTTTATTGACTTATCCGGTGCTATATTAACTAAATGCTGTTGATTGTTTATTGTCGAATTTAAAACGCCAATATGACTATTTGTACAACGATGATTGATATTTTCAGATATGTCTTTTATCGTTGATGTATTATCTTCAAGTGGTGTTGATATAGCTATTGGATGGAATAACATCCCTGATTGAGCTGGGGTCGATATGGCTGTTGGACGAAATATCATTGCTGACGCTAATAAAAATAATTATTTTTTAAATTTGACAATAAAAAAAATCTTTTCTAACAGACCTGAGACCGAGGTTGATTTGCACGAGCATGAACATGTTGTACGACTACAAGTAGAAAAACATTTGCAAGAAGGACATAATGACGTGCGCCTGATTGACGATGATTTAAATAGACTAGTTGAATGCATAACATTCGAAACAGAATTGAAAGATATTTTGTTTGATCTTGTGTTAATCTACTCTCGTCCAGATCCAACTAATTACATATTTTTCTTACCTTGACGATTCTTCTTTCTTTGCATGCTCAATCAAATGATCAAGACAAAACTTATTTGTGCAATGTGCACATATGAAATCCACTGCCTGATTAAAACAATGAGAACCATTGTTGTACTTGAATTGGCAGTAACAAATGTAAGAAAATATTTCTTCGCTTAAATCAGAATTGATCAATGACTAAAAGAGAAAGATCAATGCACACTAAAATAATATGTGTCGCACCGAGCACGTCGCGTCGTGTGTCTTGCGTTCTTTGCTATATTTATCCAGCGGAGAACGCAAGAAACACGACACGACGTGCTCGTTGCGACACATCCGACACATTTTATTTTAGAGTGCATCTTTACATACAATCCAATTAACCTCGATATATATATGTTGTTGATTGAAAAAAATTTTCTTTGATAAGTATAGTGCCCTGCCGTCTTAGTGTCCTTAACAACAAGAAGGCGCTAGGGCGCTAGGACACTGTTCATTATAGAGAGAAATATATGTTACGGTCAAAATTGGAATCTGGTCAAATTCTAAATTTGACCAGACGAAATTGGAATTCTAATTTTGACTGGGCAAAATTAGAATATTTTCTTATGATACATATAAATCAAAGAAACTGAAGTGAATGGAGGAACATATTGACACAAAGGATAGCGAAGGTGTGAGTGAGACTCAGAAGAAGACTCAGATACCAGTGGGGGCATTTCTGAATAAACTCGATCATGAAGATGCTAGTAAAATTGCAGTTGTTCAAGGTTTCCTATTTTCCAGCCATTCTCACTCACAGCTGCCACAAAAAATAGCTGGATAGCCTTCGAACTCTCATCCATACTCTCTGGATCATCTGTGCCGATATGTTCTTCGATTCACTCTCGTTACTTTGATTTATATGCATCATAAGAAAATATTCTAATTTTGCCCAGTCAAAATTAGAATTCCAATTTCGTCTGGTCAAATTTAGAATTTGACCAGATTCCAATTTTGACCGTAACATATATATATTTATATTATTGAGTAACGAGACGGTAGGACGTCGGTCATGATAGAGAGACGTATACACGTTATTTATTGAAAAAAAAATTTCATCAAAAACTGCAGCGTCCTTTTTAACACGAGACATTTTTTGTGACTAATAAAAATATACCTTTTCAGTGTTGGTTGTCGTAGAGCTAGACATTGTAAAGTAAAATTTTACGCGTAATTGAAGTAAGTGTTTATTAATATCTAGAAATCAACATCACCAATCGATGCGAAAGAAGTTTATGGAGGGAGTCAGAAAAGATAATGAGTAGCTAGTCATCAGTGGCATTTTTGACGATATGTACTAACTCCATCGCTGTGATATACTTTCAGTCAACATACTCAAATAAGATTATAAGCAGAATGTTCATCGAAAAGTGGATGTGTAGCTTATAGAAGATAAAATATTTATTTAAATTAAATCGTTAAAAAAAAGAAACCATTATTGGCTTCTCTAGCAAAAAAATACATGTGTTTTTTCTCTGTTAATTATCACTTGTGATTTTATAAATATCCTTGACAAGGGAAAACATAAGAATGAGACAATCGATGATTGTTATCAGTATGAATAACATTGTAAGAAATGTGAAATAATCCAGACATTTTCTCTAATGATCTGAAGACAAAAACGATCAATTTGAGTTTTATTTAAAAAGGTTCTTTGAGCACATTTTTTTTCTCCGTTGTCTTGAAAGCGATCAAACTTTGCCCATGCTCTAGATTTGGAAGAAATACTTCGTTCGAAATATATGACACTGTATCTGGCAGACATATGAGAAGGAAAAAGAATCATAAGTCACTTCTTATAAACACAAAGCCATTGTTTGTTGAAGAACATATAAATAGAATTGTCTATAGATGTATAGCAAAATAAAAGTGAAAGCGATATTAGAAGATCAATGATGGCACACTATCTATCACACTATCACAACATAAAGAAGTTTTCGTAACAGAATAAAAAATATATCGAGACGAAATCGTTTAATACCGTGTTTATACGGAAAAAAAGAATTTGTTTTTTATTATTTTCTTCAGTGGACGATGTAATGAAAAAAATTCATCATCGGAAGATTTTTTCAATTTAGCTACATGGCAATACCTTCGAAATTTCAATGCCATGTAGACAATCAAAATGATATTATTGGAGAGAGCGTAAAAGGTGGGGACAGAAGTACTTATTACCTCGAAAGGATCTGCTCAAATCAGGAGCAAAAATAAAAAAAAAAGATTTTCCAACAAATATAGATATGATCTATTGCTCTCTTTATTTCTCTCTTCCTTTGAACGCTTTTTCTTTTCGTTCTGTTACAGAAACATATCTATTGGTGAACTTGGCCATATATCACATATATAGTTAATATGAGAAGGAGAACAAGACAATAAATTATCATTTGATGTTGAATTACAAATAAATGTCATTGAGAAGTGAAATTTGCCTACTTAATATCTTTGTTCGATTGACACTTCTTCTAAACTTGCCATATTTAAATATAAATGATTAACTTCTGAAAAAACAGCAATAAAGTCAAACATAGTTTCGAAAAATGGAACATTCGATCGATTAAGATGAAGATTACCAAGAAAACGCTGTAATGAATAACGAGAATACTCAAGAATTGATAAATATTTTTGTCGAACATGTTTGACAAGTTCATCAGATGATCAATAAAAATCAAATTGTAGATGATATGGTAATGTTGAAACAAGCATTTCAATCATATTCTATAACTGACTTCAATATTGTATTTTAATTTCTTTCGTCATATATTTCCTTATCTTTTTCTTCTCGTTGTTAATATAGTGGTGTTTGCTTTTAAATGTCAAGCATCTGGTTGACTTGATTATTGGCAATCAAATTTAACAATGAATACACACAATGAAAGAAGTCAAGCCTGTCAGAAGCTAAGGCCGAAAAGAATGCATGGCCGATGAAAATATTCCCATAGAAAATAATATTTCAATAGAGTTAATCTAGAATATGAGAAATACCAAATTCTCTAGAGACATACGCATAGAAATATGTAAGTGCAATTGTTTTTTTTTCTTTAGCTTCAAAAAAAGCTTCAAAATCGATAGTAATAAATAAAATAGAAATATTTGAATAATGAGAAAATATACGTTAGTAAAATGAAGTTGACACAAGAATTATAATATAAAACACATTTGTAGAAAAATGAAATCTATATTATACAATGAATTTGTTTCTTTTTAATGAAATTACTCCTTTTTTCGGCATGTATCTAATGTATAAGTTATTCTAGTGAAATTCTATTGCAATGAAAAATTAAGATAGAAAATGTTTGGAAATCATCTGTTCATTAAATAAATATTGAAACCCATTTTTACATTTTTATTCTAAGACGTCATAACTCAGAATGATGATTATAACTTCTACAAAGGATTGTAGACGACAGAGTTTAGCACTGCTTTACTCAGTTTTTGATTGTAAAGAATTGTAACTAATCGCTCACATACAATGACTGTCAAAATGATCCACCTACTAGATAATTTTTTTTTGTATTGTGTATGTTCTCAAAAAAAAACTAGATGAATTAGAATAATCTGATTTTTGTCAGAATACAGTCTATAGTCTTTAGTATAGTACTAATAAAAAAAAATTAGATCAATCTATTGTTCTGTGTAGTTTTTATTGACGAAACAATGTCAGCATGATGATTTTCAACTATCTGAAATTATTCAATCACTCATTTTTTTTGAAACTATTGCATACCTATTCTAAGTTGAAATTTTCTGTGTGTGCTACATAATTAAGCAGAAAGAAATGTGTTCTACTTAAAGAATACTTTTTGTCTTAGAGTTTTTTGTAATCTAGGGACAAAAAACAGTGTTGTTTTGACCCATACCGGAAACTGTCAACAAAAAAGCATTTTTCCAAATGATGTTTGGACAATTTTTTTATGTAAGACTCTATTAACAAGTGCACTACAATTTACATGAATTGTTCTATTTGAGTAGATAATTCATGATGGAAAATAGTGTTGGTCTGCCTCTTGTATATATATATCTATCTCAGATAGACCTTCGTGTACGATCTCATTCACACATTGAAGAAAGTATTTTTAAAAATTGTATTAAAAGCGTGAATTTGTATTGAATCATTTTTTTTCATACAAAATTCTTATATTTGAAATCAAAAGAAATCATGTTTTGTTACGTCATAGATAGCAGGAGTAAAAAGCTTACTGTAGTACAAGCAATAGACTGAATATATATTTCATCAAACAAAGATGTATTAAATGAAACTTAAAATAGCGAGTTGTTCTAATTTTAATCTGCTATCTACGTAGACGCGACGTGCAAAATTTAAGCATGTATTTAATAAGATCTGTTACTCAGACTACATTAAACTTTTTATTTCTACTATTTATAACATAACAAAAGTATATAAGCTATTTTGGTTTCAAATATAAGAGTTTTGTACGAAAAAAGATATCCTACAACTCCACTCCGCTTGAATAATTTTTTATACCTCCTTCAATGCGTTAGTAAGACTGTACAAGAAGACTCATCTGTGATTGATGTACACACAAGAGACGATCAACACTATTTTCCAGCATTAAATATTCATTCAAATAGAATTAATTCATGCAATTTATAGTGTTCATCCTAATGGTACATAGAAAAATAAAATTAGCTTAACATCATATAAAAAAGTGCTTTTTTTTTGACTATTTCCGGTATGGGTGAAAACAACATTGTTTTCTAATCCTTAGACAAAAGAAAGTTACGATAAAAAAAAATGTATTCCTTAAGTAGAGCACATTTCTTTCTACTGGATTATGCATCGTACGGAAAATTTCAACTTAGAGCAGGTGTGCAACAGATTTCAAAAAAATAAAAACTAAACAGATCAATGGATCAATCTGAAATTTATTTACT